CTACCGTAGTGCTGGAAGAGTTATATCCGGAGACGTCGAGTCCTTCGGTAACAAGTAAGTACTTGAAGCCGTAGCTGCTGATCCATGATGCTGCAGATGAATCCAACGTTGCGTTGGCCGAGTTTGCCAGGAATAATGCTCCGCTCTCGAGGAAAGCCTCAGACCACACATCGTCGATCTCTGTATAAGTCGACACGACTTCAGCCAATACCTCGGCGCTAATTGTCGTCGCATTTGTTGCGAGTACCGTCAACGGCAGGAGATCTGGTGTGGTACACGATCCAGTATTGCCGAAGCACCCCCTGGCAACCACTGTAGCTGGTGAGTAGTAAGTAGCATTTGCCAGTGTAAACGCCAATGCACCATCTCCGGTAGACGACAGTATTTTCAGAGCTGATGCAAAGGGTGACAGCGTTGCCGTTGCAAGTAATGCAAGTGGTGTACGCATGTTGAGAGTGTAGTGTGTCAGCTTGAAAGCACCCTTGAAAGAGCCTTCTGGTAATCGACTTATATCGCACAGTCGTTGGCCGTCGGCCAGCCTACTTTACGGCTACGGATACAAAGAATGGAGCCCATTCTTGGCCATGAGGAGCCAAGAGATTTTCTGCTGAACAACGTATGCTGAATGCTAGCAGGCTGGAATAGCCAAGCACCAGTTAAGGCAGGTCCCATCGACGATGTCGGAGAGCGCGTCATGAGCCACATGGCAGTGACAGGTTCGATGTCAGTGTTACGGCAGAGGTGAAGTCGTGCCAAGCGATAAGAAAGATAGGTGAAGAGGCCAAGATTTGGAGAATGGCCGGAGGAGTACCATGACTCGTGCGTTGTGTTGTGCAGAGTAACATACGCAGTGGCAGAGTCTGCTGTCCTCCAGTCTCAGTCTCAACCCAGCAGCACATTCTGAGCATCTTTTCGCTCTATGCATGTCCATAGTAGTCCGTGGTCGCCTTTAGTATGCTTCCTGAGCACTCGCAGCGACTGTTCGCGTCTTTGTTGCTGTCATAGTCCTCGGATTGCAGCACACTCCGCGCACACGGCAGCTCTTCGTCGTTCCTTCGTATTTGATTCGCAGCCTTGAGGTGAGCTTCACGCATCCTTCTCGCCAACACCGTTCTTCGCGTTCTCATTTCCCACGCTACCCGCCCTTTGCACGCTACCAAACTCCTTCTCGCGCTCGCTCTCCTTCCACTCGTCGTACTTGCCCTCCTTGCGCTCAACACCTGCCATCATCGCCTCCTCGCGCCACTTGCGGCCCTCCTTACCGAACTTGAGATCATCCTGGAAGACGCGTAGTTCCTCTTCGATGTACGACCGCAGCGAAGTCTTGAGCGGGTTGACGTCAGGGTTGTGTGGTGCCTCACCGGGCTTGTTTGCAGGCAGCATGTCGTAAAGCTCCTTGCGTTTCTCGTACGGCAGCATGTCCCATGCGCCTTCTTTGCGTAGGATCGTCTGTAAATCATCAGTCGTTGTGTATTTGTGTGTTAAGGAGATGTGAGACATACCGTCAGATCCACGATGCCCAACTTAGACCTCTCGGCCCTGAGCAAACGACGGTCAGACATCTTGTCAAGTATTGCTTTTGATCGTCCGGGGTTTGTTATGTGAGTTTTGGCGACGTTTGTACCGTCTGGTCCGAAGAACAGTTGTGATGTTGGACGGTTGTGTCGGATGAGGATGTCGCGTTGGATGTTGTGGGTGCGTTCTCCGAGGTACAAATTTTCCGGGAGGTGCGGCAGCGAGCTGGCTGAGTCGGTGCGGGCGTGTTGTTCTCTGCGAGATCTGTGTAGTTTTAGATCAGTCTCCAGTGCTTCTCAATGTGTTTCAGATGATATAGTACGTGAATAGCTGTTTGATCTTGTCGTTGAAACAGACGATTGTCGGCATCTCCGTGGTGTTGCAAAAGTCACAAGGCGGTGCAATGTGTGTGGTGCGAACGTGCTAGGTCAGGAGAGGGGGATAGTGGTAGTAGCTCACCTATCAGCTATGGTTTGGGCGGCATTTTGGAGTCGATGGACTGAGACACCATGGCATTCTGTAGGATATAGAGACGAGCAAAGCTGGTATCTCCACAGTGCCGCAGCAGTAACATGCTCCTGTACTCTCGTTGATATCCTACTTACCTCGTGCGTTGCTACTGGGAGGCCTACCGCGTTGGTCCTCAGAACTGGCCTCTCCGCGTTGCCGTAATGGCAATCTGCTGGTATATCGTTGTTGAGGACTCGCTGGGGGTACTATAGGTCGCGGAGAGCGATAACGCGTCAGTGAGTAATGTCAGTGTCTCCGTCGCGCCATGAGACCCCTCAGCTGCTGTACTCGCGGTGCTGAGGGTAAAAATTGTGCCAAAGCTGTGAGATGCCCAAACTACCTACCTTTCTCAGGCCTGTCAGAAGGCAGGGGATACCGTGTCTGAGCTCTGCAGTATGTACCTGTGCTGTTGGTTCTGCTCTATTGTTGCTTTGCAGGAGGATGTGGTAGTGGTGGAGGTGGTTTGGAAGCCCGCGTGAGTCTTTTCGGAGCGCTGGGCCGAGTATTTGCACCGATGGTAACTCGAGGAGAGCCTGTTAGCCAATCCCAAACAGTACAGAGTATTCTCTTGCTTCTTCTGATGGTAGTAGAGCAGTCCGAGAGCCCAGGATGTTGTAGGCACGCGTGAGTAGTGGGTCCGTGCCCGTTTCCCGCTTGCTTTCCCGACTTCTACAGTGAAGACAGATCGTCCACAATGATTGTAAGAAATTCTACCACTCGCACCAACGCCCACCACATCGCGTTCGCCTCTTCAGAAGCTTCAGAGCCACCGCCGCGATGATCTTCACCACACAGATCGTGCGCCTGGACGGTATGTGCAGCTCACCACTCCCGCCAACGACGCGCCTGCTGATGCACAGGCAGGCTTAGTGCTGGTCGCGTCCGTGGACGACAGCCAGGTCCAAGAGGTCGGCGAGCTCAAGCAGCAAATACGGCAAGTCGTCAAGCGCATCACGCCTACCTCCGAGCCGCGAGCGAGCATAGAGAGCGGAAAGTACACCATGCAGTCAGTCGCCCTTCCTCCTACCTCGACAGCGGCAGTGGCAGTGGCAGTTAGCTGACGCACGGCAACAGCTACGTCCTCAACGACAACCTCTGCTACATCGCCATCACTGAGAAACCCTACCCAAAGAAACTCGCCCTCACCTTCCTCGAAGATGTCCGCGCCGAATTCCAAACCTCGTACAAACGCGATGACTACCTCAGCCTGCAGCTCCGGCCATACCAGTACTCCGAGTTCGAGCGGTTCATTGACCGCACGAAGAAGACATACCAGGACAGCCGGGCAACGGACAACTTGGGAAGATTGAATGATGAATTAAAGGATGTGACGCAGGTGATGACGAAGAACATTGAGGATTTGCTGTATAGAGGAGATAGCTTGGAAAAGATGGGAGATATGAGTTCAAGGCTGAGAGAGGACTCGGCGAAGTACAAGAGAGCCGCGGTGAGGATAAACTGGGAGCTGTTGTTAAAGCAGTATGGGCCATTCGCGGGTCTGGGCTTGGTCATTCTGCTTTTGCTGGTCTGGCGATTCTGGTAGAGAGTAGAGCAGGTGGGCCAGAGCATAATGCAAGCATAGCGTAGGCGTTCTGGCTTGGAGGCAGCGTAGCATGGCTGCAGGATAGATTACGTTCCGCATGATACCCATGAGCACTTAGACGAGGCTCCGAATGAGAACAGTATTTGCCTTGTAGCCCTCGGGCCCTCGTCTCAGCACATCCAGGATCCAGTCCTAGACGGGAGTCCTTGGAAGAAAGATAGCTCAAAGCACACCTCGGGATCTGTTATGTGGTCAGCAGAACAATGCCGTCTCGCCTCGACTCTGCACACTTCAGTCTTGGCGTCGTTTGGAGTACGGAAAGGCACTTTTCAGAAACAAGACGTAAGGAATATGTGGCAAGCTTTGAAGCCGTCTGGCAAGTGTTTGCTGTTTGCTGCTGGGCGTCTGCATATCGTCTCTGCAGCCCTCTCCACGGCGCTATGGCATATCTCGTAGTGCTGCGAGTCTGTGCAGCTGCTGGTGCCGGATATGGCGGCGCTAGGATGCTGTAATTGCTGCATTTCCGTTAGCCTACTGCCATTTTCAGAGCGCATAGGACGAGGCCATGCACGCATCCCCGTACTACCAGTATCGGCGGATATGGCCACCACTGTCTAGGCAGCGCCATGCTCGCGATATGGCGATACCGGGATGCCTTGCCATCCTGCTATGCTCTCGCTGGTGTACTGTTGTATCTGTAGTTGGACACGACCTACCATATCAATCCTTCTTCATCCTATCGATTACGGCCATGCATAGCGCCATCTTCCAGACGAGACCCACGCCCACCAGTGCTGTCGTCGGCCTGACGAAGGGAGGCGGATCTGCTGGCGTCTGGGCGGCGCGGATGAGGAGCGCGGCCTTCTGCAGCGGCTCGATGGGACTGTGCTGCCATCTCGTGGTGGTGTGTGCGGGCGCCATGCTGGTGCCGTCGGTGTGGTGGTGCTTGTTTGGTGGTGCGTTGTGTTGGAGATGCTGGCGAGGCGTGATTGCTGGTATGCTTGCTGTTGCTGTCGGTGTTGCTTGCTGGATTTGCAGCAGCGGAGGTGTGGCACGTGCGTCCGCTGCGTGATGAGCTCTACCATGCGACGGCAACATTCAAATGCTGACGCGCTCACAACACGGCAATAAGATATGGAGCTTGTTGAGCAGAGCGAGAGGAAGAACCTCACACTAATACCATGTCGCCACGACCACTACAGCGCGAGTACTGTCGACCCGGGGGTACGTCGGAAAGCCGATATTAGGTGAGTATATAATGGGTGAAGCAGAATGTGCTGAATGTATGTCGGGGACATAGCAAAATGCACAATTGTTTCGTCGTTATATCATTCGAGACAAGCGCTAATAAACCAACCAACCTCAGATCGTGCCTAACTAGCACATCAGCATCAGCAGATGCAAGATCCTTGATCTATAAACACTCTTTTTCACGAGTGTAGTTGTAGTGGTTATCACACGATATTGCGGTCAGTGACCAAACCCTATCGTAACCTGGGTTCGACCCCCAGCGCTCGTAATTCTTTTTTGCTTTTTGGCACACTCACACATTTACACGCACTCGCAAAATCTACCACAAACACACCTCCGAGCAGCGCCAACGACCATCTCCACACCGCCAAATCGGCCCCAAGCTCTCGCACTCCAAGAAAATGCCTCCTCGCGACGTTGTTATCATGGGGATCATCACAGTCCTGGTGGTGATGCTCGTGCTCGCATTGCCGCAGCCACTCTCGGAAGACGACGCTTGGCAGGCTGTGATGCGTTTCGTGCTGGGCCAGGTCGCATTATGGCTGGATATCGATATGTGGCGCTTGATCTTATGATGGCGCTTTCCTCACTCTCGCTACCGCCGCAAGTACCACGAGCTCGCGCAGTCGGTGGCATTGGTACGGAGCGGACTGTCGCGACGGAGAGGGCTACAACGCGCGACCAGAGGCTGACTTGATCATAGGCTAGATTCAATGGACAGGAAAGTGGTATGGTGACGTCTCAGGCACGTAGAACAGTATGGTGAGCACTAAACACAATACACCGCCTCGTGGCGCATATGGCACTACGGAGATGCTAACAAGACGCCCATCAGACTCTGTCGCTTCGCCAACATCTCTTCCCACTCCGCGTCTGGCTCACTAAGCGCCGTGACTGCACCTCCTGCCCCTACCCTCCAGACTCCCTCCTCACACCACTTAAAAGCACTTCGGATGATGACTGAGAAGTCACCTCCTCCTCCAACGTCAAAGTACCCCAGCACACCACTATACAGACCGCGTGGCCCGCTGGTAGCTTCGATAGCGCCGAGAAGCTCGCAAGACCGCTTCTTCGGTGCGCCTGTCATTGACCCTGGCGGCAGCGAATTGGCAAGAGCCGCTGTAGTCGGCGCAGTGGTGTCAAGCTGGCCTTCGATGACAGAGACGAGCTGGTAAACTGTGGTGTACTCTTCGACTTGCATGAGCTTGGGCACACAAACGTCCCGAACACTAAAGCACTTCGTTAGCACAACTGCGGAGAATTCACTTGCATAAGCGTGTTCGGTAAGTCTGAGATGCCTACCCTTCAACACCATTCAAATCATGCCTGATGAGATCCACAATCATCAAATTCTCCGCTTGTTCTTTCTCAGACCTCAATATCTCCTCTGCTTTCTTCCTTGTCATACCAGCCTCCTTCTTCACAGTCCCTTTAATTGGCCTGAACTGACATCTGCCATCCCGCGACCACGAGAGAAAGCGCTCAGGACTGCTACTGATGAGGTCCAGCTCCTGCTTCTTCTCAGCATCGGCAAAGTGGAAATGTGCACCGAATGGCGCAGGGTTCGCTTCACGGAGCCTCTGATATAGTGCCCAAGGTTTGGCTGAGTTGCGGATAAACGTTTGGTCCGTCAAGCAAAGCTCATACGATTCACCAGCTCGCAATTGCTGTTGGCAAGCGCTCACTTTTGCGCAGTACTCGTCCTTGTCCGGACCGCTGATGATCATGCCGTCCGGCTTCGATGCTGGAAGCTTAGAAGTGTGGCGATTCGGTTTCTGTACCAACTCAACAACATGATCAAGCCAGATCTCATCGTTCTCGCTGATGCTCTGAATATAGGTGCAATGCTCGACATGGTCGACAATCACCGAACGCTCCACCAGCACGAGCCACACATCAGGTCTTGCATTTTCAAGAGCTGCCGGCGGCACCTCGATAGACTCCAGACCAGCTTCATAAGACATGTAGCCTACAAGACCACCCCAGAACGGCACATCGTTTGGTCCACACCCAGCCTTGTGCTCGCTCATGATGCTTTCGATGGCGGCAAAGACTCCAGAGATCTCCATCTGCTTGCTATACACCACTTTGCCCTCGGCTTCAAGAGTAAGAAGGCGATCTGTCGTGGACCACCTCAACTGCAGCGCGTTCTTGGTCGGAAGTCCAATGATGCTGAATCGACCTGTCTCTGGATTGATCGGTTTATCGTCACGCACGCCCGACTCGAGCAAGATTGGCTCAGCGCCTTCGCATTGGTCGCGGAGAACATTCACGACACCGGCGGCATCCTTCTTGTCACCGTATGGCACTGCTCGCCAACGAACAACAGAGGGCGCATGATGTTCAAGACCTGCGGTAGGCTGCTCGAACAGAGGCTTCCTTGACACCATCGAAGGCGTAACATCACACTTCCTGCCCTGGCCGTCGTTCCATCTGCTAGCCTCAACCCACCAGTTCTGGATCAGCTCCGGACCGCCAGTCGAACAGATAGACTCGGGATGATACTGCACGCCCCAAAACGGCTTATGGCAGTGCCGCGCAGCCATCAAGATCGGGCCATTATCGAGGTCACCCAAGTCCCATGCCAGTGGCACAAGCTGTTTGCACCTCCTTGCCGGCGTCCATGGATCTGCACTGTGGTCGACCTCAATGTCGTGACGCAGTCGCACTTGTAGAGAGTGATACTGCGTGGCGTCCAGCTCGCCTATGCCGCTAAAGATATCGCGATCGCAATGGATTAGATGTCTGACGAGACCATGTCTAGGCTCATTGAGGCGCTCAATGATCCCGCCGAATACCAACGCTAGATTTTGGAATCCTAGACATATGCCCAGGACTGGTATGATACATTCATCCGGAAGGGTCCAAAGCTTGCCAATCAACCCGACATCCTTGGAATTGGCAGGGTGACCTGGTCCCGGACCTACAACCAATGCGTTGAAGTTGTTGAGATACTTCTGAAATGCATCGTCGTTGAGGACGAAGCGAGAGTCGTCGATCTTGATGCTCTCGACAGTGACTGGAAGGTTGTGTCGCAGCAAGGCGATAATGTTATTGGAGAATGAGTCGTAGGCGTCAATGTAGAGGATGGAATTCTCCGGCATTCGCCCTCCTGCTGTGGTGGTGAGGTGTGACCTATCTGAGGTTCTACGCGAATGCAGTACGACGACGCAGTGTGTTGATACGCAGGTGGCGATCCGAGAAAGAAAATCTGACTGTGACGACAAAGGGCGTCCCGCTTCGTGCCGGAACCTTACGAGCGTGGCGTGTGCCAACTACTCTAGAGATGTGATCGCTGCAAGATCCCTCTTGCAACGCATTGGCAAGACCTCAGAGTTTCTGCGAGCAGAAGCCGATTTACATGTCAGAACACAGCAAGGCAGGGCGTGGCGAAAGACTCGGAGTCTGCTTCGGCAGTGAGTGCCGAACTCCCCGCAGCCGCTCCCGCGACGTTGCAGATCATCCGCAACTCAATCTTGAATCCTGTCAATGGGCATGCGAACGCTCATGCACTACCTATCATGTGTGCATGAACCCTCAACCAGCAACAGGGCCGTCTCTTTGAGCCCACCATGTCCAAAAGCGATGACCAGAAAGTGCCCCGGGAGCCAAAGTTCCCAACTCACAACGCACCTCGTGTCTGGTTCTTGACATGCGCAAACAGCCCAGTCGGGATCAGTCTTACTCGACACTTGCTCGCACATGGAGACTACGTAACCGCTGGGGTTTTGCCAGTCGAGTTCGAGAAACACGAGGATCGCAGTGCGGACTTCAAGGACTTTCTGGAGGAGGTCGGGACACATCAGGACAAGGAGACATGGCGGGCTCGTTTGAGGGTCGTAGCGCTGGACGTGCGCATCATGGGTCAATGCCAGAGTGCAGTGGCAGAAGCAGTACATAGCTTCGGCAGGGTTGATATCTTGTTCTGCTGCCACAGTGAGGTAGTCGTTGGTACGGTCGAAGAGCTGAGCCAAAGCAAGAGAACATTAACATTGGTACACGAGCAATTCGAGACGAACTTCTTCGGGCCTGTCAATATCATCAAGGCTACACTGCCTGTCTTTCGGAGCAAGAAAAACGGCCATATAGTTGTACTAACAGCGATCACTGGCCATCTGGGCACGCCTGGCCTGAGCATGTATTGCGCATCCCAGTGGGCGATTGAGGGATACTGTGACAGTCTGGCGTATGAGATCGCACCATTTAACATCAAGTTGAGCATTGTGCAGCCAAACATGGAGATCAACGTGCTCACTCATAAGATCACGAGCGCACCACCAATGAGCGCGTACGCAGAAGAGACCAATCCGGCACCTTTGTCACGGAACATACTCTCTGGCCTGCTGGATCGCCTGGAAGGCACCTCAGAGCCCACGACGGGAGACCAGCTACACAGCAACGAGGTAACGAGCCTATATCCGCCATTGAGTAAAGCTATGAAGGAGCGCTTGGTTGCAGAGACGGTGCATGCTGTCGCAGCGATTGGCGGTCACGACAACCCACCTGCTCGACACATTGTCGGTTACGAGGGTGTAACTACGGTCAAGGAGAAGTTGAAGACTGTCAGCGAAGAACTGGAGGACTTTATCGAGTGCAGCACCTCGGTCGACATTGAGAAGGGCGAGGAGCTGCCGCGACCGCTCTCGCAAGGCTCGCAGACTCATATTCTGATTCCTGAATGAGCTGAATATCTTCTTCGGACGACTCCCTTGAGCATTGCCATCTCGGCGACTCGGTTACCGGTCAGACGTTTGGCGCGTGCGCGGCCCCACTCACTGCCGGCTTCCCTTCCACGCGATCCCCGCATTTCCAGCTTCTGGACCGCCGCTGCTCATCAGCTTGAACATCCTTCCAACCACCATGCATGGCTTGTCGATGACTAGACGCACTGTAGCCAATACCACACACGCCAATTGAAAAGACACCTCCTCCAGGACTCGAAGAAGCCCCACCCAAGCGCGCCGATCGTCTGGTGCCTGAATGTACTCGCAAGAGATGGACGTAGAAACCTTGCAACACTCCGCGCCGCCTTCGCCTACTTCCTCGCAGGCTGGAATCTCGAGAGGCGGCAACGGTACATCTGTCAAAGTACTGCGACGAGCGTGCGATTGCTGTAGGAAGCGCAAAGTGAAATGCGATGGCGCAGAGCCTTGCGGGCCCTGCAAGAAGGCGACGATAAGATGCGCATACCTACAGCCGCCGAAGAAAAAAGGGCCAAAAGGATTGCGGAGTGCAAGGGTATTACACGCGTTGCGGACTATAGATGAT